GTTTCATGAATCGCATTGACCTACACTTTTAAATTGTCCCCTCCGCTGGCGCTTCTTCTTCGACTGGATCCTTTTCTCTTATTTAAATAGAGCCGAACCTATCGAAACGCTGAGTAATTTGAAGAAAAAATCGTGTTGCGGATTCGCCGCGCAATTTTTCCAGTTATTTATTATACGTCGCGTTTTATTTCTTCTTTTTGTGCTCTTCATTCCTCTCTCTCCCTCTCTTTCTCTCTCTCTCTTTTTGTAATGCTCAGATCTGACGGATTTATCGCTCGATCGGGATACCTGGTGTTCACATGTATCACGAATACAATATTGTTTGGTTTAACGTCGTCGTGCACGCCCGAATTCTCTCAGATTCTTTACGGTGTCGCGATACGGCCCGGCCATTTATTTCGATATCAAGTTTCTCACCGCCAGAGGCTTCCCGCAGAGAAGCTGCTATAGAAACGAGCAGCCGTTGTATCGTGCTCGAATCTCGATTGCTCGAAGCTGCTAACGTAGTTACGTGTTTTACGGCGCGAAAGGGAATAACGACGCGCCGGGCCGGCGGCGGCAGACCTCGTGCCTTACCTTTACTACTGACCGCCGCTACTTTATTCGTTACCGTACTCGCCCGCAATCATGATCGTAATATGACGTACGGCAAAGTGTGAAACTGGAAAAACGTGTCGGGTCTTTCGAATGAAATAAACGCGTATAATACACGTTGCTGCGATTTTTGCAAAAGCGAGAAACAGCTCGTTGAGAGTTAAATAAAAATTTTATTACGACTTATTAGCCGGATGTGTATAATTTGCATTCAGCGCGTGTATCTTAGCTTAACTTCGTCCCATTTAATACCGCGCTCATATTATTTCGATTTCAAACGCGTACAGTTGAAGATCCGTATTTTCCAAATATTTCCATACGAGATACTGTGCACTGAAAGCTGTGTATAAAAAGAAGATAATATTTTTAAAAACTCAAAAAATATTTCGAAGTTTCGCCTGTTCATTGCATCCATCTGTGTTTTACACCTCACATATATTATTGAATTAATATACTCGAGATTTCGCGAAGTTTTAAAATGCTTAAACAGGTCGGAGTCGATAACGATCTTGAATTATTCGCGAAACTCTAATTTTTCAATGATTCGCTCCATTTGGACGGCTACATAGAATTTCCATTTACAACACGTTCGCGTACCTTTTACCAGGCTTTTGCATGAAACATGAAAATTCAAAAGAACTTTTTGATATTTCAAATAGTTGCGTGGATACTCTGCGGCGATTATAGTTATCCTCTACCTATCAAAAGAAGCCCTGACCGCAAAGTTAAAATTTTTCCGCAACATATAATACTGGGCGATATATTATACTTTGAAGCATTTTTAAAATAACCATCCTTCGTTGTGATATGTAAATTCGAAATATTTCCGAGGAGTCTCCACGAGTTTGAAATTCACGTTTCGATTGCGCCGTCGTTCCGTGCGAGCCTTAAAATGTCGCTTCAATAATGCATAGGTTATCACTTTCCAGCCCCCGACGGTGTTTAGGGAAGAGGCAAAAATGGCAAAAATAAAAAGAGCCCCCACGCCGTAAATACCACGTATGTGACCGTTGCTGCGTAAATAATTTGTCGCTCGCGTCACCTGTCATCCGTCGTCTCGTAAGGCAAGACGCGAAGAAACAACGACGACGGGATCAATTTTCTCCCGACGAGCACAGCCGGGTTTTTATTTTTCACGCGATTATCGGCACCTCGTCGACATCGAAGGCCGAAAGTGAAAGCCGATCCGCGCGTTCTCCAGTTCTTTCGATCGGCGTTTCGGCCTCCGCAAACCGGTACTCGACGGCAGCACAGAGCCATCGTAACCATGTATACCGCTTGCGCGCGGAGATTGAATTATTTTTCTCCCGGAATAATTTTGCCATAAAATAAGACCAGTACGAGAGAGGGTGCATGCGCACTCACATACACACACGTCCACCGCTCGCAGCGTCATCTGTCTCGAGAGAGCACTCCCCTCAGTCTTTCTCCTCACCTCTCTCTCTCTCTCTCTCTATCCCTCCATTCCACTTCCGGCGACGAGGCCACTCGAGGCGGGTAACGTCGCTATTTTCCCCTGCGTCTCTTTATATTACATTCTAGATACGGCCACGGGGACAATGAGAGCGGCGATGGGAGTTGAATATTCTTCTCTTCTCCTGTTTCTGTCAGCGAATATCTTATCATAATACCATCGACACTGTTTTCGCGAGATCGTCGCTGGACATGGCCGATTCGACGGACCCTTCGGCATAAGCACACCGTCGACGTTTGCCACGTGCAAAACGGCCTAGAGAACCATCGGCGTCTTCTCGGCTCAACGGGTGCAGCTTGCGACCGCAAGCTTTTCCGTTTGATGCGGCAACCGATGGCGACGGCGCGCACGGCTGCCGGATGTTGCGCGCCCATATCGCACGAGAAAGCATGCCTCGCCGATGAGACGGTATTTGCAAACTTTGAGCTTGCGCACACGTTTCGATATTGCCTCACGTGCCGCGCGGGATGCACAGCCGAATATGTTGTTCGTTGAACTTCCCGTTTTTTCCTCCGCCTCGCCCGTCCCGCTCCGTCAAACTGCGTCGCCGACGGCGAGTTCTTACTTGCAAAAGCGTAGCGCCTCGTAATACGCTCGCTTCGATTTTGCACTTTTTCCTCGGTTTGTATTTGCCGAGGTCGATTCTTCTTTGCCCCGGCGCCGCTTCGCGAAAATAAAACCGCCACGATATCGCCGGGGGCGGAAGAGATGAATCCAGGGGACTCTTCTATTAAGGGCGAGTTTGACAGCTGGGATGTATCAATTATGTAATTCTGCGCCGGAGACGAGGAGGTGGAAAGCGAAAATATTTCCACGCGAGTTCCCGTCGAATCGCGTAACTGCTCCCGACATTGAACAATGAGACCTCGCTTTCCGGCTGGCGTTTCCGCGTGAGATTTTAAACGGAAACGCGGAACGTTTTCACCAGGATTTCAGCGATTGAAAAATTCCGATAACGATCTCCCTTCGAGTAACGCGATCGGAGGGAGCTTTCGTAGGATAATTTTCCGCGAGTCTTCCTTCTCTTCTTCCTCCTTCCAATTGTCGCGAATGGCTCTAATACAACTGATAAATATGTAATTTCTGTTAAGCTAACGCTTCGCGTTTAGATTTGAGCACAATATGCGAGCGTGGCTGGAAGCTATATTCCCACACACACCATTCCGTATGAAGCATTTATATTAGGTGCACGTATGCACGCACGCACGCACATACGTGCGAGCTATTATAAGCTACAGCGGTACGCCCATGGCGAAAGCTACGAGCGAGGTATTTTGCGTTAATTTAGATTAACGCTATTGTGATGAAGAATTCATCAACGCCTCTCACCATGGTCTTCCTATTTTGATGAATATTCATTATTATATTCCTCATTTCATATCCCGCCGTATCAGTCTTGTGATGCCTGTGATTCTTATGCATGGGGAGATATCGGGAGTATGTGTATATGCGAACCGTGAACGTGAGCGTGCGCGATTCGACGTCCGACAGGAAGTTAAAACTATACCTCATCGTTCGAAATGCGCGTTATTATATGCGTCAACAGGCCGTTAATCGTCGTTATTGCGCCGTCACGTGCGTGAGTAACGTATTTTAACGAGGATAACGAATCATGAACATCGACGGCATCGTCGTCGCCGCGGCCCGCCTCTCTGGAGTGACGTGAAAATATTTGTCAAAGCGCAGAGGCGGGTTAACCCTCGCATAAAATGACGATTTATATCACTGGGTCGAATATTTAAAACGTTATTTCATACGTCGCGCGCGTAGTGCGGAAAGCTCAACACGCGATATTAGTTTCGTAATCGCGCCGCGACATGACATATCGCTTGTGCGCGACGTATCATCGATGTATCAATAATGTATCGCAAAATATTGTATTTATTTTAAATCGTGCGCGCGCCCACAGCGATATTATTATTACGAAAGCGTGCATATATACACAAACACACGGTTTTTGCTACGGTACAATAAGCAGCGCGATAATTACGGGGCTTCACCGTGCAAATAACGTGAAATCCGCAGAAGAATTCGAATATATCGCGTATATAAATGAGCGAGGATGTTTCTTTCCTTTTTGCGTGCAAACAACACACACATTGCCTAATGCCGCCCCGACGTCTTTTTAAACGCTACATATCGATATTTTTAACGTCCGCTGTACTGCATCTTGCTTGTTTTGCAGCGACCGTTTTCGGCGAAACATTCAGGGGACGAACAATGCTGTAAAACTTTCGGTAATTCAGAGCATAACTTTCGTTACTCCGTTCAATACTTCGAGAAGAGTAGTTCGGAACTTCAATTTTCGATATTTTATTACTGAGATACTTAATAGTGAATATTAAAAGGACGACAAACGCGCTTGGTCTCCTCGAAGTATCTCGCTGAGAGAATACTCTGCGTCTGTTAAAAGATGTCGCGAAATAAAAATTATGATCGCGGGATTGTAGAAAATCCTGCGTCCTAAGGAAAAAATATTTAAAAAGTAAAAAATAATTTTCCGGTAGGGTTACTAATATTTATTTAAATATCTCTGAATTTTTTTATTTATATGGAATAAACAATTGCTTTCATGAAAAGCTACAGATATAAAAAGTGTGTACATTTCCTTATTTAAATAAAATTTGTTCTCAATGTAGAAATATATTTATTGTTATAAAGTAAATATGTTATCAGTATTTATCGAATACTTTTTTAGACGTTTTTTCTCAGTATAAACGTAAAGGTAACAATTAAGTTTTTCTTTCTTTTTCATGAGGTCACATTACGCAAAGTTAATTACAACCATGCTTGACGACACGACTTTAATTTGCACTTGATAAGCGATCAACGGAAGGTCACATTGTGCACACGCGCGCAAGTCGGACTCTCCAAATCAACAAATTGAATGAGAAACGTAACGTGTAGCCTCTCTCTTCTCCTCTGTTCGCAGATGTGCCGAGTTTCTCCGAGCCGATTGGCAACGTGACCGCCGCCATCGGCAAAGAAGTCGCTCTCTCTTGCACCATCAAGAAAGTGGGAAATTACAAGGTAAGCAGCCGATAAATTTTTGTAAGAAGAACGCGGTGGCAGCGGTGACGCGGCACTGGTGTTCGCGGGAGAGCAAGTATCAGGCGCTAATTAATTAGCTTGTAAACGCATAAGCGCGCATCGCCGACGATAAGAGAATCTAAAATTCGGATAATCCCGCAGAAATAAATGGGCCGCTCCGGGCTGCCGCTGGCAGATGTCAGAGCGCCGGTGCCTTTTTGCACTTCCCCGCTGCCTCTCGTATTTTTCTACGGGCGCGAATTTTCCGCTTGTTCGCACGAGATAAGTCCGAATATAGATGCACATCGATGTTCGTCTCGTCGGAGAGAGAACAAAGAGAGAATGCGACTGTACACACGAGCTTGACCGTTGAAGCGCGAATCCATTGGCGAACGCATTGGGTCACGCGTCATTCCTTAACGCCTTTTTCAGTCTTTTTTACTGTACATTTGTATACAATAAAAAATTTTGTGTTAAATTTAACACATTTCGTATGTCCTAAACAATCTGTTCAAGTTTTTATGTTGACTTAACGCAAGGTAAATATATTAAAAAGGAAGTGTTATTTTTGTATTTTCTTTTGTTTACACGGATATATTACTGTTACGTCCTGGGTACCTCGGAAATTACGAATTTCTTTTTTTTATATATGATTCGGAAGTAGACGGATTTCGGTCAAGCGATGGCTCGCCGTTAAACACGCCATGTGTTTCCTAACGTGTCTGTTATCTCTTCCACCTTCACGTAAGGCACGTAGTTTTGTTACATTCTGGGTACCCCGGGAACAACGAATTCCTTTTCTTTTCTATAATTAGGATGATCTTTTCCGCCTTCACGTAAGGCACGTAGTCGTTGCATCCTGGGTACCGTGGGAGCAGCAAATTCCTTTTTTATGATCAGGAAACAAACGGATTTGGGTAAGCGCTATCGTAAGAAAGGTATGATTATACGCCGCCAAATGAGTTATGAGTTTCCCAACGCGTCCGTGATTTTGGGATTAGGCTCTTAGGATCATTTATGACGTCTTGATAATATTAGGGATTTGCGACGTTTCACCTTTCTTTCGTTATCTTCCACTCTTCGCAATGGGAACGTCTTTCCGGAGCGGTCAGCTCGTTGACGCGGCGATTTTAGCCCTGGATTGGCTCGCCGGATTGCCGGGTTCGCCTAATGGGTATGCGAGACAATTTTGGTTAACAAAACGATTTATTCGAAGTTACAGACTCGTGTGCGAGCGGATGTTAGCTCGGTATTTCAATTAATAATCTTCTTGTAAGACGCTAGATGCGTCGGAGCGTGTTGCTGCTGTCGTCGGGCGCGCGTCTGTTTTGACAGATCAGCTGATCTTTCGCGTTTCGCGGTGAGATGGTGGCGCGGGACGGCGGACGCGGTTGGGTAGACGCGGTGATATGTGACACGGTTGACGCTCGAGTGACGGTCGGTCGAGTCGCGGGGAGCGGGCGCGGTGTTTTGAACGCACAGCTAGTGTTGTCGCTGTTCTGACAGTCCAGATCTCCGCGATATTTTCCACGATGTCTTTTAAATGCCACAGAGAGTGCAATCGGTAGCGACGCGCAGGTGGCACGGAAAAGCGGAGGCACTCTCCGAGCCCAGAGGCCCCACGGGGTCGGGAACGGTACGACAACCAGGAGGTACCCGCGGCATCGGGTCCCGCTCCTGCGGTGTCGTGTGCTCTCCGCGGGGACTACGGCACTGGGAGGTCGCAAGAGAAATGCGGTGTGACGGAAACGGTCGGCGTGCTCTCGGCGGCGCTTCTTCGTCAGGAGAGTCGGGGCCGAGAACGCTCGGCGGAGACGACGAACGACGCCACCCCCTGCACGTTGACTCCCCCGTTGAAGCTCGCTCCCGCGGATTCTTATGAACTAGTAATCGCTCGCTTGGTTGCTCGCATGCAACCCGGCACGGTAACGCGAGGGACCCGGTGTCCCTTTATGTCGGCAGTAACCAGGCCGGGAGTACTCGGCCGAGAGTACTCAGCAGGGACGGCGCAGTCGCCACCCCGGACCTGTCTGGCCGGATGTCGGTCGGTCGGAGGTCGGTGAGGAACCGGGAACTCCCGGTGGAGACGGCAATACACCGTCCCGAGGGAGGAAGCGAGTGCGGCTGCGAACACACCGTCTCGGTTCCTCGGCAAAGAAAGACGGGATCCGGAGCGGCCTGCGAACGTGTCGCTGTGGCTGACTCCGGTGGAATCGGCTTCGATGCCTCCGCTGGTCGGATTTTATATCCGACGGAGGCTGATTGTTTATGTTTGTTGACATGCACGTGATCACGCTCTCGGCGGAAGCGAGTCACGTGCGTGTCGTATAGTTCAGGATGGCGCAAAGCGTCAGTGAGCGACCCGACGGATGGTCGGTCGGATCGCGGGGTGGGCAACGGTGCAGGTGCGCCGTTACAAATTTTCCAGGGTATCCGTTTTCTAATCTTCCATATCCGTTTCCTGTTTTTCACGAAAACTCCTCTCATTGGCGATCGTCATCCGCCACCCCCAAAATCTTCTCTTTAAAACCCTTACTCTCTGGCCACTCCACAGTCAGTGTCCGTCAGTCAGTGTCAGAGAGTCAGTCAGTCAGTCAGTCATTTTTCTTCTTCTTCTTCTTCTTCTGCTGAGTATCAACGAATCCATGTTCTACGTACTATTTACCACAGTCGATTCACCTAAATCGTAAGTCTCTATTTCATATTTAAACATGACTTTTAATCGTTTCAATCCAATCTCCATTCCCACTTCACTCTTTAAAACACACACATACACTGCGTAATTATTACCTTCCTTGTATCATATAATGATGTTTTTCTCGCCATACCGATAGGTTAAACATTCTTGTTACGTTAAATCCGATTGTATTAAATTAAGTTACACGGATTACTTTTTTTACTTAATCTTATTTTAATCTTCATCTTGTATTTGCATTATTCCAATAATGCTGATTTATAAAAGTTTGTTTAATGTTATATCTCATTGTTTAACTTTAGCAAACTGTTTCATCTTTTAAATATTGTATCATTTACAATGACTTTTTTCATCAATTTATCACTATTATTAATCCATGTGAGAACCAAATTATGTTATTAGTATAATTAATAAACTGTTTTATTCAAAATGCTCTAAATTTAACCAAGTTGTTACAATTATTCATTCATTNCAGGTTGTTAAAATTATTCATTCATTTCCTTTCAATTACTTAAATCTGAATACCCCTTCAACACTCTCATATGGTCTTATCCCAGGTAAAGAGATTAAGTTCTTTGACCTAAATAAAGGACCACGTAACGTACGTTCTGCGATTGGAGTAAATGGTCCTCTCCGGACTTTGACCTGATCCATAATAACCTTTTCCATAAATAACCTTTTCATCATCATCAGCCTTGTTTCGTCCACTGCTGGACCTAGCCTCTTCCAATTTTACTTTGAAGGAATTTGGCATTAAAACGCCGCGCTTGCCATTGCGTGTTGGCGAGTATTTTTCTTAAAACGTAACGTTTCACACAGTGCTTACCGACTGTGCGTGGGCCAACGGCTTAACATCTCTTCCGAAAGACGGAGCCCAGTTTCCCATATATGAGTCTTTTTATTCAATACATGGAGGAGCGCAGCTTGGAATAAAAATTCCGGTGATTTGGTGGACTTGAACGCAGAGAGTTCTCCGCGCTGCAAATCTGGCGCTTTACCACAAAACCACACTGCCGCTTTTAATAAATAACTCTTTAGGACATAAATATATTAATAAAATTGAGGTAGTTTATTTTTCTCTTAGTGGGTTACCTCCCGAATTCTTAAGCCAAATACAAAGTATATTTTTAACACAAATTCATAATTATTAAGACCACAAATTGCTAAGTAACAAAAGAATTTTTCAATGTTATACATCAAATTATAGATTTGCAAGAAAATTGATTAAATATTACTATAAAAAGCCAACAGCAAAAAATATATTTTGTTCTCGCTGTCATTGTTGGAGATAATCTAGACTTGAATGCAATTTTGGGATACCCTTGCAGTTTTAAAGCAAATTATTGCTGTAGAATTTGTTTTGAGGACATTTCTATCTTTATTAAAATTCAGTAAACAATTTTTATATTTAAACATTATTTCTTTAAATTAATTAAATCTAATTTTAGTTAATATATTTACTAAAATTAAACAAATAATTAAACAAATTTTCTCAATATAGATGCTCTTTTAAAAAAATTCAATTCTATAAATCAACTTTGTAAAGTTTGCTATAAAATCAAATTTGAAAAAATTGAGTTATCTCTACATTATCGAGATATTTGGCACAAAAATAGCTATATAAAAATAAAAATAGTTACATTCTGCAATGATTGTGAAGACAAGTTGTATTTATGTTTAACATGTTTCAACATAATACATCGAAAAATATGCCATTATAATAATAAATATTTTATTCGAAATATGTTGCTTTCATATATTATAAGTAAAATTATTAGTCTCGATAGTATAGGGCGTATACGATCCATGTGGCGTGAGCAAAGTCGTTAATAATCAATCCATAGTAACAAACATGTTAAGATCATTTTAAGTACATTTTTGGATACTACACGGCTTATTTTATTAGCTACGAAGCATAATAGATAAATTTAAGTCAATCTTAAATAATCCAACTATGAATACCGGCCTTTCAATCAATTCTCAGGTAGCTTTCGTCGCGCAGAAACACGCGACAGGATTTTTCAGTTAGGTCGCTTCGCCGAGAAAACGTACAATTTGTCCAGATTACCTTTGGAATGATTTTTTTACGCGTGCATGCGAAATAAGTTTCCACAGAGCGGGGCGAAGCGGACCGGTTAATATCGAATGCCAAAAACAATATGTACCGAACACGCGTGGTATCTTCTCGATAATGCTAACGCGAAATAAAGAGAGCGGAGAGCAACGGGCGGGCGCGCACATGCTGCGCGACGACTGGCACAACCGGCGGCGGGATTCGCGCAATACACGCGATAACGTAATTTGC